AAACACATTCCAAAACGACCTCTGCTCCACAAACCCCGTCTTTCCCACTCTATTGTTCTTGTTAGCTGTATAGAGAAAGTTGCTCCGCATGTCAATTGGCCACTTCAAACTCCTGAAACACCTCCTGCTTCAGAAATACTCATTAATGTCATCGTAGTTCCTCCAAGGAGAATGCAGCGTAGTTCCATTTCAACTATCCCCCACTTCCTTCTGTATCATTTCGTAAAATGGCATCACTATGTTCTTCAAGAAACCACAATCCCTAGAACTTGAGGGCACAAATGGCATCCTCGTGTAATCATCGATGCGATTATCCAGAATTTTGTTTAATTCCATCGCCATGTGGTTGTATATATAGAAAATGCATTCCGGCATGAAATGGAGGTTTGCAGATTCTCCTTAAGAACCCATGATGAACCTAGGAGCCTAGGTTTGTGATGAACCCAGCTTGTGGGTTCGCAACAAACCCAGGTGCCTGGGTTCATCGTGAACCCAAGAACCCACGACGAATCTTGGAGCCTAGGTTCGCAATGAACCCAGCTAATGGGTTTTTGACGAACCCAAGCTCCTAGGTTCATCACTAACCCAGGAACCCACGACGAACCCAGGCGCCTAGGTTCAGGACAAACCCAGCTCTTGGGTTTGCCTGGAGGTAAAAGAAAAAAAAAAAAAGAAAGAAAAAAAACTGGAGAAAGGAAATGATGGGGAAGAAGATGGGGTGTAAATAAGTAATTAAAAGTAAAAAAAAGTTAACTTTGTCATCAACTTTTGTGAAATGGATTTTTCACGTAATTTAAGTAAATAAATAAATAAATTGTTTTGTTAATTAACTTGCTACATTAGCCAAAATTTAACGGATGAACTAAAAAGGAGTCAAATTTTAAAATTTAAGAATCGAAAAGGGAATTTTTTCAGTACAGGAACTAAAAAGTGACTTTTTCTCATAGTAGAGGGACTAAAAATGGTATTTAACCATATAAATATAATGTAAATATAAACATGATAAAATTGAGCAACATTTTAATGGAAATGAGAGACATATAAGGGAGTAGAAAAAAGAGGAAGAAGAAGAAGACGAAAACAAAATGAGAGGGATAGGCAGTTCTGAGAATATATAAAGCCTCTTACCTATGTGTACTTTGTCGGTATTTATGTTACCAACATAAGGCACTTAGGTTTTATAAAATTTCACGCAGGAGCAAAAATATTTGAAAATTTTGTGCTCCTGCTTCATTTTTTATCGACAAGGTGATTGTTGGAAGCTAAAAATAAAAAATTTTTAGCTTCCCGCCATCATTTATGATTTACCAACAAATAAATGGTGGGAAGTTGAAAGATGAATTTTTTACCACCATCAAATAATTATTATAATATTAAATTTTTGTTATAATATTCTTATAGTCAAAAGATGAAACCTGCACTTACAACTAGGAAAGGCCAACA